CTCAATGCTAATAAGTTTTGCACGCTTTATTCAGCACAAATTTGATACAAAATCCGTAGCAACTCCTGTTAAAATTTTGTCGTTTTTAGAATACTTTTTCGTCAAACATTTGGACACAAAATCTGTCGAAAAGATCAAAGCTTATTATTAGCCGCAAATCCGATGCTAATATTTGCGTCAGAAAATTCCGATGCAAATATGAAATGCTAATAACTTTTCTGCCATACAGTCTGTACTTTATCTCCACTGCATCACTCTCATAATGTAGCATACATCTGCTACAACAACAATCCTTTTTTTTTTTGGTACTTAAACCAAGTAACTCTTAATAATTCATAAAATTTTTAGCTTCCACATTTATTAGGAGAGAAGCATCACAGATCTTTTCTTTGTATATACCTTTTTGGTCTTTACTTAATGGCACAGAGCTAGTTGATGCACTACAACAAGAGATGGAGGGTGACTCATACTTACCATGTAAAATTTAAAATAAACATCTACTGAGTTGTAAACTCCTATAATATAAATTAACTGTAACTTTATGTTTAGAGTATGAAGATATAAAATTTTCCCTTGAATATGTGGGCAATTAAGAAGCCACACACTCAAAATGCTCAAAATGATTAAAAAATGCATTACCTTTTTGTCTAGGAAGTAGCTTATTGTACATCTATATATTTTTATTGTAGATATTTATACTCTAGACATATACAAATATAAAGCATTAGCCTACCTATAAATTGTTTCATAACTTCATTAAATTCATTACATTTGATTAATAATGCAATGATATGAGATAAATGACCTATCTAAAATTAACTAGTAATCATTAAGTGACCTAATTCATGTGGTTTTTCTAGTAAGATAGATGTTAAGAAAATGTTGAGTATTTTGACAAAGTTCAGGATGCTAATTTTAACTTATTTGGGGCTAAGTCATGAGATATACTGTGCAAACTTTCACAATCTTAACATATAACATGGATGTAACATAAAAATTAAGGATACCTACTCTTATATTTAGTTTATTCAAAGTAAAAAGAGCCCTACTATATAAATTCCCTTAAATTTGAAGCAAAACCTTTTTAAAAATTTAACTAATAAAACCATGAATTAAAACTTTAAGAATATAATGGAAGAGATTTACATACAAATTTATTGAAAAATTGTGCTAAAATGAGCATAATTCCGTGTTGATGTGGTGAAACCACATGTGTTCTGATTAGTTGTGAGGAAATAAAAAGAAAGGGCGAGAGGAAACGGGTGTGGTTGGGCTTGGGATGGACAATATCAAAGCCCTCACCAATGACACCTCTGGTAGCTAGTACACAACTTATAGCTAGTCATTCAACTTCAACTCAATATATCATTAACCTCTGGTAGCTAGTACACAACTTCTAGCTAGTCATTCAACTTCAACTCAATATATCATTACATGACATAATGGTTGCCAAAACCTTTTCTCACAAGGCATGAAGCATGTAGCTCATGTATGACATTGATGAAAAGTGGTTTAAATAATTTGAGCTAGGATCATATGGTTAGGCTTGAAGAGTTAGGGCATTTCGTCTTAAATTAAAAAAAAAAAAAAAGGCCACGGAGTTCTTCTTATAGAATGCATGCTAAAATAAGATAACATATATTTTATTTGAATAATTAATCTGAGCAATATGCTTTAATTATTTATTCAAAATTTTACATAATTATTAATAAAGTGGGCATATCTTAATATTCTTTTTATTTGATGATGATAATAATAATAATAATAATAATAATAATAATAATAATAATAATCTTATTATTATTATTGCATCTTTCATGACACAGTTAGGATGTAATGAATTAGAACTAATATTAATTGCATTTATACCCCAAGCTAGAGGGATCAAATCATACATAATTAAAAATATTTAAGTACAATTATTAATGTTTGCAATAAGATGAGGCCATAGAAGGAGGTAAGAATATCAAAATATTGATGCCATGAAAACTTCACAACCATCATAGATAAGCAATCAAACCTTCATGAAAATTCAACAAGGGCACCAAAGATGTGAATCATCGTAACATGTAACACCTAAAAAGATAGAGGCATTTTGCTTAGCTCCACAAAAAAAGTAGATTGCACAACATGAAAGGAAAACTATTATAAAATTTGGTCAATGCATATTAGTAATGAAAGATTAAATAGAAAAGACTGCATAAACAAAGGCCATATGTGATCCATTGAAAAGAATGATGTTTTGATTCTAGAAGGCTCTAAGTATTTTAACTATTTCGCTATTGGAAAAAAAAAACCTTTGCATTTACAAAGATGTCAGTAATAAAAGAAGCATCATTTTTTACTTCCGATTATCACATCTATCATAAAAGTTTCCCAAATTAATAAAAAATCTTCAGCATTTAGTGATTGAAAATGCTTGTGCAACATAAATATTCTCTACCACAAATGATAGCTTATGTGTCCACTTTGCTACCACAAATAGGAGTGTTGATGTTCTTTGATTATTTATTATTATAATTTTACGTTGTGTCTTTGTTTCTTTCCCAAACCCTTTTATTTCAATCATCTATATAAATCAACCTATTATATTTAAGGTGCAATATCTCTATTATGCATAGTTAGGAGCTAAACTATGTCCTAAATCCTTTATTTTAGTCTATAAATACTTGTTTCTAATATAATAATTGGTAAAAGTAACATTCTTGATAGCTCAAGCGATATAAGAAAATTACTAGAAATAAGCACTTTTCTATTAAGATAAATAAACTATCCTTCACTTTTATGAATGGAAAGGAGCAAGAAGAGAATTTATGTCAAAATACCAGTACACTTTGCCAGATTAAATGACTTCACAAATATATGAAAATTGATTGTGATGATAATATCTATGAG